GGGGGGGGGGGGACGACGTTAGTTACTCATTGTACGTAGTATTCTTGGGTTTCATATGACGTCACGTATGGGTCAAGGGTCTGTGTCAAGGGTAAAGGTCTAAAGGACGATTTTTATATTGTTTATATATTGTTTTATATAATAATGTAAAGGTGATCTACAGTCCGATCTGCGCATGTGCACAAAGGAGCCCACTTTTTATGATACAAACAGTTTTACTATGTTTTGGGTTCATGCATAGCCTGATTGTTGTTTCTTGATCATTTATTATACTCTAGAAGCTTGAAAATATAAATAGTTGTCGAATAAAGCTCAATATTTTGGACGCAAAAATGTAAACAAATGCTTTGATTACATACGGACTGTAGATCACCTTTAAGAATTCAAGCGCGCTTTCATTGGTCGAGAGCCATGATCTATTAGAGCATGGATAATAAAATAAATTATTTTATTTATTTTATTATCCATGATTAGAGGACAGACGCACGGAATTACGTCACAAAATGTCAACTTTTTCAAATTTCCAAATGTTTGGGTGGATATTTGCCTCTTTAATTCGGGTTTTTTCTTTTTATTATATGAAACAAATAGATAAGATTTTGCCGTTGTCGTTCAGTTATAGATGTATGTTCAGTATGACGTCATAATGTGGGAAGAACAAAAAAGTGACCCACTCGACTTGGCGGCTCGTGAACCACTTTTTTGTTCTTGCCACGTAGGCCTTTATGGATTGTGCTCGGCAACTTGTGAGCAATTTTCGGAGTTTTGAGCAACTTTTTGCCTTTCGAGCAACCTCGAGCAACGTTTACTGTCTGGAGCAACTTTTGACTGTTAATATAAGCACTAGACCAATGCGCAACTTTCAACCATTTCAAGCACAGAATGAACATTTGCAGATATAAAAAGGTTTCAATCTTTTAATAAATGATTTAAAAGTCAAATATTTAATTTAATAAAATAACAAATTTTGACAATAAAGAATGCGCACATGAATATTATTGGATAATGGACAGCAGTAATTTTTGGTAATTTTTACATTGCCGATGCCTGCGAACAACAATTGAAATTTACAGCGGTTATTCGATGAGAGCTATGGTCACATGGTTAACACATATGTAAATCCATAAATCCGATCCGAATTCGATCCGTTCGGATTTCGGAACAAAAATATTCATTTCGGATTGGATCGGATTGATAAAGTTGTTTCGTAAGTCGGATCGGATCGGACTTCGATATTCGAAATAACTGATGAATTATAATAGACAATTTCGGATCGGATTTTAAACATTAGCCAATTGATGATTCCCCTTATTACGTTTTCGTAGCGCTTTGCATTGTGGTATCACTGATATTCAAGATGGCTTATTTTTTTGTCCTGACCCGTGCAAAAACTTTTAAAAAGAGCTAGGGTCAGGTGCGTGATAGCTAACAGCAAAATATTTGCGAAAACATTCAATATTTTCATTCGATGACGCTATCTTTATCAGTGATACCACTATAACCACGATGCAAACCGCTACGAAAAAGTAATAAGGGGAATCATCAATTGTCGGATTATAAACGTCCAACATGGTAATTATATTGCCTGTCATAACAGTCGGAGAACTCATTCACATATAAGACAGGCATATAAGATGATTCACAGCCAATTCGTTTCTTTGTTGTTTTACGACCAACTTGACCCACCTGGGCAGTGCTCTCACAATCAAATTTTCGAATTCCTTAGAAAAAGCTCGAAAATTCCTCAGATTTCCCTAAAATTCCTTAAATTGGTAAAATTACCAGAAGGCCTGATCACACAATTGCAAAAAGTGTTTTTTTCCTCCTTTTTTCTGTTTTTCAGTTTTTATAACCTTGTTTCTAAGCACTAAAAATTGAAAACATTTGATTGTTAGCGTAATGCCATAAAGAAAACATTCAACATGATGTATTTTTGATCGTTGCTGCATGAAGAGCTTAAAAAATCTGCAGATTTCAGAAGAAACAGCATATCATCTGACATTTAACTTTCGAGAATTTTAATGAAAAGACCAGTGGCGGACACTTTACGAAATATTGGGGGGGGGGGACTCGTGCCGAAGGCACGGAAAAAATTTAAAATTTGAATCCCGGAAATGGCATTTGCAGCGTTCTGAGAACACATTTTGTAAAAAACTAGGGTTTCAAAACACTGTTTTAAGTTTTGTTATAAATCACATGCCAAGCCATGTACAGAAACCTATACTATTATATTATGATGACAGTTACGTTATATGAGTGTGATTTGTGTTATTTGGTACTAGAATCGAATTGGTACTGGAACATTTATGACATAGAGAACATACGAATATATGTAATTATGTGCGTATAATGTTGCTACTTTAAATCTCATTTGCGTGGCGTGGTTACCCTCCGTCCAATGTTTTTAGTCCAGGATAAAATGTTTCGGAAATTCCTTAAAAAAATCCTCAAAAACCTAAATTCCTTAAAAAAATCCTTAAAACTCTTCAAAATTCCTATTTTTAAGGATAATTCCTTAAAAGTGAGAGCACTGCACCCAGTGAACTCTAATAATAACTGGAAGGCTAAGTCAGGGGGGGAAGTTGAAGCCGTGCTTGAAGCTTTTTTTGTAGGTAGACCCAGTCCTTTTTAATTTTTTTTTTCAAAATATGCACATTTTTTGATCAGAAAAATCTTGCCCCAAAATATTAGTTATACTACCAAATTTAATTTATATCAGTAGTATGATAAATGAATTTAATATTCGCAAAGCAAACAAATCACGAATTAGCAAAAAAAATGCGAAAAACACGACCATAAGCATGAACGGTCTGAAAAACCGCGCGTTTTAGGCTGCTTTTTCTGAGTTTTTGGAAGTTTAAGATAAAACTAAGACGTCATACCTCAGGAATTTTTTATACCCATGCAAAATACATCTGTATGCGAAGTTTCAAGAAGATTTAGCGTTTTAAGGTCGAAAAAAAAGCATTTGAAAATTGACAAAAATATTGCCATATTCAAAATGCTCATAGTGGCCAACAAGATGCCGATGACGAAAATAACATCACTTGAAAAACGCCAATTTATTTATGTTTAAGAGCGACTAAAACAAGGACTAAAAGCTCAGGATCAATAACAATACCTGGGGTTTAGTACAACATAAGTTTTGGGACTGTCAAAATGTTTTATAGTATATATTTTTAAGTTGAACGGCGAGATTTCCTTCGGCACATCCAAACTTTTGTCATTTTTTCAAAATACAAAAGCAAAATTCCTTACTTTTTGCTGCAGAGAGATGTAAAACAGTCGGAACTAATCGGAAACTTGGTTTAAATCCCAATCATTGTTGTATTCCCATGGGAAAAGTGTTTTTCTTGCAAATTTTTGCTCGAAAACAAACTTTTGACAGAATTTTTTTCACTCCTCGAAACTCTCCTTAGTCCTTTTGAAAGCTGATTTTCCCGCGCGCCGGCATCCTCGTTCCCAGGGCTTCTCGGCTGCCTGCGTTGCCGTAAGCCCTGGGACAAGCCGAAGCAGAAGCGATTTGATTGGTCGTTGGAAATAGAGTGAAGTATGAAAAGTTTATTCATCAAGTGGATGTTTATATTCGGCAATATGGCTGCCTTCAAGGAGTGCGCGTTCGAAATACGAAAAAATACAAACGTATACTGCTTGTTTTCTATGGATTAATGGAGATAATTTGCAAACAGAAAGAAAGAAAATAACAAAATGGACAATTATAAAGTAGAAGTAAGCAACAATATCGAAGAAACGTCAATTATGAAGCCATTAAAAAGTTTCTTCATTTTAACATTTTCTTGTTTATAATATAAAGTTGCCTATTATTAAAACATTGTGCTCAAGTATAATTGTAAAATTTTAAGCACACTGTAAATGTAAAATGTTTAATAATATATATTTACGATAGTAAAGTTTTAATGGTGTAATATATTGTGTTTTATTAATTATTATGCTTTTGGTATTGGTCACTTGGCCTATTACCCGCCTATATTAAAATGGCCCTATATTAAAATGGCCCTA